ACAAACCTTTTGAGCTCAGTGTGTCAACATTTTGAAAAACCCTAACTTAACTCTGGTGCCGTGTCACATATAGAAATTTTTTTATATTTGCAACCATAGTAAAACAAAGACTTATATTTTTAATATTTATTTTATATATTTAAGTGCCATTTAACAAAGAAAAATCAACCAAAAAAATGAGTTCGCGTGTCACCTCTGACACGCGTGTCATAGGTTCGCCATCACTGGTCTAATCAAAAAACATAGGATAGCTAAAAGGATAATAAAACATGACCCATATATATGCTGTCTACAAGAGACCCACCTCAGAACAAAAGATACACACACACTGAAAGTAAAGTAATGAAAAAATACTCATGCAAATGGAAGCAAACAAAAAAGAACCTGGGGTAGCAATATTTATATCTGACAAAATAGACTTCAAAACAAAGGCTATAAAAGAGACAAAGAAGATCACTACATAATAAATAAAGAAATCAATCTAACAAGAGGATATAACCCTTTCCCTTGCCAGTGTGGCTCAGTTGGTTGGAGTATTGTCCCATACACCAAAGGTGGCAGATTCAATTCCTGGTCAGGGCACATACTCTGCTTGGGGGTTCAATCCCCAATTGGGGTGCATGTAGGGGGCAGCTGATTGATGTTTCTCCCTCACATCAATATCTATCTATCTATCTATCTATCTATCTATCTATCTATCCATCCAACATCTATCAATCTACCTACCTATCTCCCTTCCTCTCTTTAAAATCAATATTTTTTTAAAAAGAGGATATAACCCTTGTAAATATCTATGTACCCAACATAGAAGCACCTAAGTATATGAAGAAAATCTTTTTTGTCCCATGCCAATTATCAGTATAGTATTTTTATTTTTATTCTGGTGTTTTAGGTTTTTGCTTTTTTTATATTTATTGTTAAAAGTATTACATAGGTCCGCCTTTTCCCCCCATTAATCTCTTCCAGCCCACTCTTGTCCTCACCCCCCCAGCCCCCAGGCCCTCACCATCCTATTGTCTATGTCCACAAGTTATGCATATATGCATACAAAGTCATTGGTCTTTTCCCACCCACCCTCCCCTGCCTTCCCTCTGAAGTTCAACAGTCTGTTCATGCTTCTATGGTGATGGGAAAATTGGACAGGTACATGCAAAAAAGGAAACTAGGCCATTAACTTACACCTTACACAAGATAAAAATCAAAAAAATCCTAGAAGAAAACATAGGCACTAAAAACTCAGACATCTATCATAGCAATATTTTTGCTCATATTTCCTCAGGCAAGGGAAACAAAAGAAAAAGTAAACAAATGAGACTACATAAAACCAAGAAGCTATTGCACAGCCAAGGAAACATCAACAAAATGAAAAGGGAATCACCACTGAATGGGAGAACATATTTGCCAATGTTACATATGATGAGGGATTTATCTACAAAATACATAAATAACTTATGCAACACCACACCAGTTAAACAACCCAATTAAAAAATGGGTAAAAGACCTGAATAGACACTTCTCCAAAGAGGACATATGGGTGGCCAATAGACATATGAAAAAATGCTCAACATCACTGATCATTAGAGAGATACAAATTAAAAAGACAATGAGGTATCACCTCACACCTGCCAGAATGGCTATCATGAACAAATCAACAAACAACATGTGCTGGCGAGGATGTGGAGGGAAGGGAACAATCATGCACTACTGGTGGGAATGCAGACTGATGGAGCCACTGTGGAAAACAGTATTGAGTTTCCTCAAAAAATTATATATGGAACTGCCATTTGACCCAGTCATCGCACTTCTGGGAATATATCCTACAAACCCTGAAACACCAAGCAGAAAGAATATATGCACCCCTATGTTCACAGCAGCATAATTTACAATAGCTAAGATCTGCCCATCAGGAGATGAGTGAATGAAAAAAACTGTTGTACATTTACATGTTACTACTTGGCTGTAAATATGAAGGAAATCTTCTTACCCTTTGGGACAACATGGATGGAACTGGAGATTATTATACTAAGTAAAATAAGCCAGTCAGAGAAAGACAAATACCATATGATCTCACTTATATATGGAATCTAATGAACAAAATAAACTGACGAACAAAATAGAAATAGAGCCGTGGATACATGGAACAGACTGACTGCTATCAGAGGGCAGGAGCGTGGGAGGACTGGATGAAAGAAAGTGAAGGGAGTAGCCAAAAAGCATATGTACTAGTATAATACATAGACAGAGACTACAGTATGGTGATAGCCAGAGGCAAAAGGGTGGGGGCTAAGTAGAGGTGGGCAAAGGGGCGGGGAATGGGAGCTGAAAGAGTCTTTGCTTGGGGTTAATGGGTACAGGATGCAGCATGCAGTTGATGTTTTATTGAGTTGTACACTTGAAACCTGTATGGTTTTTCAAACCAGTGTCATCCCAATAAATTCAATTAATAAAATATTTTTTAAAAGGGAGTGACATAGAGCAGTTTTGAATACAGAGTTAGAGCAAGGAGTCAAATCTGAGACCAAGGTAACAAAACCACAATAGCAGGTCTATGGCACTACTCTCACCACTGATATCAATATGCACTCCTTAGCCCTTCAACCCTCACTCCCAGGCCAGGTCTCTAGGTAATATCAGGAACACTAATCGGTAAGAACATAGCTGGAGCCAAGTTCATTCTTGTCATGCCCTCTGCTTCCATGACCCTGGATGACAGCATGAATATCAGTAGGGGAAAATATTTCATGGAGCAGAAGAAGAAGCATACTGCCAAATAATCACCCTTCCACCAAGGTGCTCACTGGACTCAAGTTATTGTGAGGCTGCTTTGGATCAGGCACTGTGCTGGGTACTTCTAGATACATCATCTTAGTCTTCACAATGACCTTGAAAAAAATAAATTTCTATTATTCTCTTGTGACAGGTGTGGAAACTGAACTTTAAAAGGGTTAAGAAACCTGACTAAGGCTGCACAAAGGGAGAAACAAAAACACAATAGTTCCATTCTAACCCAAGGATGGAGAAAAGGGAAGTTTGGACCTTTATGGATTATTAGATGTGTTTTTAAGAAATCTATGAAATTGCAATCTTTTATCTTTTAAAAAAAGTAAGGCAATAAAAAATGTTGAATTTTTTCAGCTGAACACTAAAATACTGATTGTTCTGGAAAATAAAAGCTAGAGAGAGAGAATGCAGGTATTGTGGGTCAGCAACCTTGTTTACAAACTGTTTAATGACTAGGTGCAGGGACTCATATCCTATAAACATATCATATCGATGAGGTCCTAATCAGTTCAACAGTTATCATCTTCTAGGTTTGTGCCAGTGCAATTATTTTAGAAAGTACCAGGTTTCCATTTTAATTGGTGCCTGGTTTATTTGTCTCTTAAGACATTTGGTTTGGTTTAAAATTTAAATTAAAACTAATACCTGGGCTTCGTCCTGGTTTCAGTAAACCTGCTCATTTTCCCCCTATACCTTAATGTGTTGTTGATTTAACTGCCTGACCAGGCCACAGAATAGGTGTTCCACATGTATGTACGCTTTCATATATTACAGCCCAAGCTCTACAGCCAGAGCAGAGTGAGAGCCATTCCAGAAGGAGCAGTGGGCTCACAACTCTGGATGCAATTCGGGCAGAAGGCCCCTGCTCACCCACACACTGGATTTGGGCTGACTTTTAATAGAAAAACAACCAAAGAAGAGGGAGACACACACTCAACTCCCTGAAACTGTAACTCCTCAGGTGCTACTTGGGCCTTTCTTCCAGAACCTGCGAGTGGGCTTGCTCCCAGAACCTGCGAGTGGGCTTGCTCAGCTCCCAGCCACATTCGGAAGAGAGGGGAGTGCAGTCTGAGGGCTGGCATGCCCTCTGCCTGATCAGCGCTGAAACATGCTGCCGGCATTAACAGGCACACGCAAATGATGTGATATGTGTGCTCTTAGTTTCTATTTTAACATAACCAGCAATTTAGTGGTTAATTAGCAATTGGCTGTCCACCAATATGCAAATGAATGACAAGCAAAGACCCTCTGCATCTGTAATTATTTTGCTGATTTACAAGCCACTTTCCTCTCAGTGTAGGTTTTCTGTGGTGTGCATTCATGCATCAGGGATTTCATTATTTTTAGAAGCATACTCAGTGCATTTTTATGGTTTAATATCTTCAGGCTTCAGTAATTACAGTATTATGGGTATATGTATATATATGCATATACATGTATATGTGTATGTATATGTATATGTATATGTATATGTATATGTATATGTATATGTATATACACTGTCTGTTTTCCTTGTTTGGAATTTTTTTCTTTCCTTTTTATAAAGAGTGTAGAGTAAGATTTTGTCAAGGGGCTGAAACCCAAATTGCAGAGAGGGTCAGAGCGCAAGATTAAAAGATGTATGTTTCTTCCCCTGCCAAATCCTTATCTGGAATCAGACGAGTCTTGTAATATTTGATTTTTCTCCCAAGCAGCTCTGGTGAGTCGAGCCACGATCAGCGTTATCCATCTGCCTACTTTGGAATAGGCTGTTTTACTATTTGGAGGTTGAAACGCTTTACGTTTTTGCCAGCCCATTAAGAAAGGCTCTTACGTTAAATTAAGTCAATTAATAAATGGAGACACATTAAGCAATCAATTTTGTCAGCCGATCTCCCCAGCATTATGTATGGTTGGCTGTAATCACAAGATAAATGCAATGTGCTGATCTATGGTAATGTTCAATAATACATTCTCCGCCAGGCTCAATTCATCAGGGAGTTTCAGTAGGGGAGGCATTTGTTATTGGCTGTCTCTGCACCTCAAGGATAACACTTCTGTCCTTTTGATTGGCCGCCTCACTGCTGCAAGATTCTAACCATCTTGTTTTGATGATGAATATGAAGGCTCGCTGAGCCGGTCTGGAGCGGAGTGTCTCAGCCGCTGCGCTCCTTCCAGAGCCCAAGGACTTAACAGCCACGTCGCTGCCTTCCTGTGCCAACGACCCCCCAAAAGTTGTGATGCTTTTCTTTACCCAGTGCTTTGGAGCTGTGTTAGATCTCATCCACCTCCGCTTTCAGCACTACAAGGCTAAACGGGTGTTCGCCGCCGCTGGCCAACTTGTCTGCGTCGTAAACCCCACGCACAACCTGAAGGTGAGCTGCTCTCTGTGGTTTTATATTCACGCTGCTAGGGTTCAAGTCCTTTCTCCTCCCGCGCGTGCACCGAGTGACCCTCCCGCGCGTGCACGGAGCTCCTGGCTAAGGCTGTTTCGCTGGGGCCAGGACCGTGTTTGGGACTCAGAGGCTGACTCGCTCCTTCTGGCTCTCTAGGTGGCTTGGTGCTTTCCCCGCTGACTGGCCAGAACAGCTGGAGTGATGGTCTAGTTTCTTTCCCCCAAGCGTCAGCCCAAGAGTTTGGTGGGGGTCAGAAGTGGAGGTTGGCGGAGGCAGGGATTAGGGGGCGTCCCCGCCCCTCTGTCTCAGAAATTTGTAGGCAAATGTTCAGTAGACAGGGTTGAAAAGTTACCCAGATTGCAGCCTGTCCCATGTGTTTGCAAAAGCAGGCAAGCACATGGGTTTTGGAAGCCCCCTCGGGCTGCCACTGAAGTAACGGGGCAGAAACACCGGACAGGGACCTGGAGTTGGTAAGGGGGCGGGGGGGGGGGGGGGCGGGGGCGGGCTCTGTTTTCCTTGTGCTCAGACTCGGCTTGAGTGAGTGAGCATAGGTGTGAATGAGAGAGAGAGAAGAGAGAGGTCAGGAGTTTGTGTTTGCTTCCTGTGAGCTAGATACCTCACCCCACCCCGCTCCCCGCCCCCTGGCACCGAGGACTGGAGGAGGCAGATTCGCTTCAGTTGTACAATAATGAAACCGGCTCCGAGCTGCTGTCTGAGTCACCGCAGGCGGCTGCGGGTGCTGTGCTGCCTGCGGCCGCCCGGCTGCGCGTCTGGCGCCGCTGCCTCTGCATTTGTGCCTTCAGGTCAATGCTCTTTAGAAGAACAGCCAAAATATGGGATTCTGGAGGACCGCACCACGTCCCGGCCAAGAATGACGGGGAAATGAATCAAGAGCCACTAGCTGGGAAGACTGGAAAGCAGAGCAGTAGTGGGGGGGGGGGGTGCGGGCGGGCGGGGCGGGGGTGCGGGCGGGTAGCTGAACTCCCGAAATATGAAACAGCCATCATGACTCCGTGCTAAAATAAATGATGGACTCATTGGGAGTTGTCCTCACTATACCCAGGGCTGAGAGAGAGGGGGAAGGGCACGTCTGTAGGAAGAATGTGCTGGAATAATCTCTATGAGGACAGATCTGTTATTCTGACCACTGACTGATCTTGTGCAGGAGGGGAGTTGCTTGTTGCTCATCACTTTATAAACTCCTAGAAAGAGTTAAACTCTTCTCGGTCAGATCACTACAGGGCAACGCTGGTGGGTGCCTCCAACACCCGCCCCCCAATATCTGCAAGTCCCTAGGAGGGACAGCTGCCTGGAGCCCCTGGGGCCAGTCCTGGCGTTTTGCAGTACCCAAGCTGTGGCTAACACCATCTCACGCAACCTCTCCCTCTCTTGTCCCCGTGCGGCTCTCTCACTCTCTCCTCATTTCACTATTTCTTTTATGGCTTAGTTGTATAAATGAGAACTCACCACTAGTCACCCTTGGCCAAGCAAGTGTATGGTGTACATATTAAAATGTGATTCTGAATTCCATTTCATGGCCACTTTTGAGAGCACATTCAAACTCCCATTATTTTGTCACTTTACATTAGTTAGTTCCCTGTGGCAAGACATTTTGTTTACTCCTGTTTTGCATTTCAATATATTTGAAAATTGTTTATGAGATTTAGCTTTCCGAAAGTTTGGATTTCTGTGGCTCGTTGCCTACTGCTGCTGATGGAGGAGCAGAGGGCGCTCAGATCTTGGTGTGGGGTGGGTACAGTGCATTTGCGTATATTTTTCAGTGATGTGTGCCCGGATATAGACAAGTAGTTCTGCTGCCTGCGTCCAGGAGTCCAGAGTCAGGTTGGAGGCCATGGGTCAGCTCTGATGAGCTGTGTGGCCTCAAGACTCAACCTCTCTGAACCTTTCAAGATGAATGTACAGATTCCTATCCTGCCTCCTCCATGGCTCTGTGCGGCTGAAAAGAGACACTAAAGGTGGATGTGCTTTATAACACTCTCCTTCAAAGAAATTATGTTATTGCACATAATATGTAGGGATTCATCGGGAACTTCAAAAGTTGTCACTTAAAGCCTTTAGCCGACTTAGAAACGCTATAAGCAGTAACATAAAAATAGGGGATATATGCTTTGAGAGGCTACTTTCCATGGTTCACTTTTTCAAATACATTCTCATTTGGCTTTCCACGTTCCATAAAAAACTATTTAAGAGATTGGCTCAGATGAGCTTCACTGCAGGTAAGCAAAGCAAGTTGAGTGCTGCTAATGCAACCAGAGGGTGCAGCAGAGCAAACGAGATTCACAGAGGCCGTGCCAGGCAGAGGCACCTCTGCAGCCCAGGCTGCCTCTGTGGAGATGCAGGTAACACCTTGTGCTCATCCACGATCCAGGTGGTGCGTCAGGTGCATATTACCTGCTTCTCAAACCTGAGGTTTAACAGTCATTTGCAGAGCTTTTAAAGGACCAATTCCACAGGCGCATTGCTGCTCCCATCACTTATATTAAAAAATACATAAAACCTCAAAAGAAAAGTGCTCCTTATAAGCATTAATTTCCATAGACAGACCACAGAAATATGCCTAGGATATAATAAGCTCTCATCCAAATGGGGAAAAATTCTTTCAAAGAAAAAAAAGCTGTGGCAATGTTAACCCAGAATAGCTATTGATCTGTGGTGCTTCCCCACACTCTGTAGGACACGCTGGTACCTGGGTTGATGACTAAGGACACAGGGACTGCAACCTCACTTTCAATGTTCTAGGTGGCACGCAGCTACCTAAGAGGGCTGGGAAAACTGTGTTTTTGGCTTTGCTTTTTTTTGTGGAAACATTTTTGCCCTTCGTCCTTTCCTGGGATTTCCTGATAATGCTGGCAATATTTTAGGGCCTGAGGCGAGTGCTGAGTTATAATCAAAATTCATTTTCTGAGCAGAGAAAATTGTGTATTTATCATGTTTGTATAGGTCACCTTCATTCTCAATCTTATTATGGCAATTACTTAAGTAACCTGGGATTCCTTCGAAGCTAATATCTTTCCTTCTAAATGGAAGGCAGAAGACTTCCCAGGAATGCAGACACCCTGGTTAAAGTCATTTAGCCCCTTAATCCCATCCTAATTAAAAGAGATGTTTAGTGTAGCTGGCCTGGAATATGAGGGGTCTTTGCTTTAAGCAAGTCCCAGGCAGGGGAAGGATTTATAACAGAGCTGTCTCTGTGGAGTGCAAATGACACTGCTTGTCTGTCTCTGCCTGTAGGGAGGGCTCCTTGCACAGGCGATGCCCCCACTTCTCCTTCCTACGCTCTGAAAGTGACCAAGGCCAAGAAGCCAGTGTTCTTGGCTGGTGGCCCTCTGCTTCTTCATTCACAGAGGTTACTGAAGTGCAGCCAGCGGCCGGGGCTGGCTCCAGTGAGGGCTCTGATCCTGGTCTGGATCCATCACTCCTTTCTCCCTCATGTCTTTTTCTTGTTTCCAAATCCAAAGTGCCTTTCTCTCCTAGCTCCTCTCCCATCCACCTTCGCTGCTTCTATAATGCCTGCCCTGGGCACCCCTCTCCCTTCCCCCCATCTCCAGAGGTGCCCTTGGAGGGATAGACTGGACTCGGGCTTCCTGTGGTGCTGAACCTAGACTTCTCCAGGGAAGGATCTGAGGTGGCGGCACAGCCCCTCTGGGGTGGGTGCACAGCCTTCCCAAGCAGATAGTAGCTGAGCTGAGGCCGGCTGGGCAACTTCCTCCTCTTACCCACAGCCCCTGATAAACCAGTTCCTGAAAGAAGGCTAGTCAGACGCTTTCTGAGAAACTTGCAAGAGGCCCTTGTTAGTGTCAGCATCATTGCTGAGACCCCCGGTGTCCTCCCCAGCTTCCAGATGCGAGGGCTTAACCTCCCCACCTCTACCTCTTCTATTCAGCCTCCCCAGAGCTCTTCTCTATTGTAACCTGTTAACCTTGGGTTTACCCACACGCACACACAATAGTGGGAGGGGCATGGGACAGTAATGACTTTTTTTTTTTTTTTTTTTTTTTTTTTTTTTTTTTTTACCCCCAACCTCCCCCCCACACACACTCATGCTCCCATCCCCCTGTTGTCCATGTCCATTGGTATGGCTTATATACATGTATACAAGTCCTTCGGTTGATCTCTTCCCCTTACCCCCGCCCTCCCCTACTTTCCTTCTGGGGATTGATAGCCTGATTGCTGTTTCTCAGTCTTTGAGTCTGTCCCTTTTCATCAGTACCACATGATCTCACTCATTTGTGGATTATAGGGACAGTAATGACTTTAAGTGCCTGACAGATACTAAATAGAAACTTAGGGCATTTTTAGTACCATTATTTGAAGCAATCACATGCCTTTCATTCTAAGACCAACCTATGTGGGTGAAGTATGTTGAGTGACGGTGGGGATGGATGTGGGGTCAGGGGGAGGTGCATGGAGGAGGAGGAGGATCATCGAAGGAGGGAGCCAAGAAGAAAAGTGTGGCAAAGCCAAACATTGCCCCTACTTTTATGGAATAATCTTCGGGAATCCCATGGGCCTTGGGGCTTTCACTAACTCTGCTTGATACAGCACCGCAGGCAGCCAAATGAGAGCTGAAGACCTGAGCATTGTTTTTAGAAATTTAGAGGCGGCCTTTGGAGTGTTCAGCCTGAATATCTTATTAAAGCAGTTAAAGGCTCTGACAAGTTTGTTTAATCCTGTAGTTACTCAGTTCTTATTGACATAGCCACCTCTGAGGGTCCCATTCTGAGTTCTCTAGGAATAATACCACCTTCCTTCTGCTGTCCAGGCTTGAGCCTCCTCACAGCTCATTAGCACCTTCCAGGGCAGGAAGGATAAGGAAGAGGCAGGAGCCAGTGGTGCTCACTCCAGGAGCTTAACTCTAAAGCCTTCCCCTGCAGCCTCTTCCAGCCCTTTGGTTTCTGTGAATATTGTATGATATCCTACTCTGTGGGCACAGAGCAGTCATGGGGCTTTTCTGGTTA